CTCCTGTGGTGCGTCGTCGTCGTTGTCGACTTTGACGGTCCTGACCTCAAAGTTGATGATGAAATCAATCAATCAAAACAATGCAATCAATCCCTCATTAAGTTTCCTGGGGTACGTCTTGCTAAGTGCAAGACCCTCTCCCGTAGTAAGACCCTCTCCCGGTTCTTTTTTGTTTTTTGGCGCACAACGTGGCAGCCACGTTTCATCCGCCTTTTCTGATGAAGGGAGTTGCGGGCATTCTGGCCAGGATATCGAGCTGGTTATTCCGTGGTACTCAGCTTTTGCACTGTGCCTATGGTACTCTATTATATGCATGATATCTTATGGGGTACTCTTTGGAATGAATCCTGAACACTGGACTTCTTTCATTCATCTGATGACAGGATTCAAACACAGATCTATTCATTCCAGAGTTCATTCAATTTACCTCTCAGCCACATTGACTCGCTGATATGGAAAAAAATAGCATCAACGAATAGATGCAGCTGCTTGCTCTCTCTGCCTTCCCCCCAGTCCTTTCTTTTGTTTCTCTTTTTTTTGGAGAAACCACTGCCTCTGGGTAGGCTAGCAGCGGTGGTAAGAGCAACCCCTGCTATCCCCCCTGGAGGGTGGCTCCAGTCTGTTAAGGCGATCAACATGGGATTTGGGTGTCAGACAGAACGATGCAAAGCTGGGAGAGATGGGAGATGAATGGTATACAAGAAACTGTCACCATAGTCAGCGGTCCATACCTGACGAAAGAAAGCATGAACTCCAAGCCGCTCAAAGATGTCCAATCGATCTGCAATTGAGAATGTACTCAACATTATTGCTGTCTGCTCAGGATCCACCAAACGTGGAAATAGCAATACTGCTCCCCGTACTTTCTCATCACCCCTTCCAAAAGGTCTCAGAAGACGGTCAGCCTGAAGAGGAAAAAGATATGAAACTCCTTTCAAGCAAGTTAGTCCCACAAAGTTGTGCAAAGGTTGGTCAACATAAAGAACTGAATCCAAACACATCCTCTTCCTTCTATTGACCTCCTCATTCCCACCATTGTCGTCATCACTGCCATTTTCACAGTCATCAAAATCAACATGATACCAACTGGCCTACCTCAGTTGGTACACCCCCGAAGAGTTGAAATACAGACCTGGGATTAAACTCTACTGAAAGCAGATGAGTGAAACACTACAATTCTGAATTCCCTAGGGGTAGTCAGTTTGATGATGACATGTCGAGGCCGGTGCCTTTTTTTTCCTTTGTTTTTTTTGAAAACCATGATCCTCGGTATTGTGGAATCATACACACCTTTTTTCCCCTCAACAGCTGATCAATCTTTGCCTTCAACTCATGCAGGAATTACAGCCCTCCTTCCTTCACGTTTTAATAGGCAGCAACACCTTCAAATCACACAGCTACACACACTCTTGGCCTCAAATGCCACCTCATAGCCATCTGTGAAACGGTTTCCACCTTTGCAGAGGCATATGCAGATCCCGGGGTTTGATCCCCAGACCTTACCTCACCCATGTATAGTATCGAGTTGACCCTTGAGTGCTTGAACCCGTGACCTGTGTTTTATGAGTTGTTGTTTGTCTGTCGTAGGACTGTGTGGACATAGGGATTCGATCTGTAGACCTGTCGAGTAGAGGTCTTAGACAGCTCCAGAAGTATTAGCTGTAGATGTCCCGAAGGGTCAAAGTCGTAGCTGCTACAGTCCTGAAGAGGCAAGGTCGTAGCTGCTACAGTACTGAAAGGCCAAGTCCACGGTCTTCCGGAAAGTCCGGAAGTGGCCTTTCGAGTTTTCCTCTCACGTTTTCCACAGAAGGCCAGAGGCAAGTGGGCAAGTGGTGCTTCCAACTTTGCTTAGTCAGCGGTACCCAGTCCCAGTCTCTCTTTGCACAGTCAGCAAGTACCAAGGGGGACTGTGTGCACCATGGGCCCGGTGGAAAGAGGCAG